CTGATATTCCTTTAGATCTTCAGATGCTTTGGAGAGTTTCCTGAGGAACCTTTTTAGGCCCACAGGTTTAGGAACCCTCCAGGAGTCACTTTGTTTATTTTAATTCCTTTAAATTCCTTTCACATGTGTACTAACCATGCACATTACTGCTGTGCTGATAAAGAAGCAGATACACAGCATGTTCTTTTTGTGGTAAAGGTGGGAACCTGTGGGGCTTGAACTATCAGAGATTTATCAACCCTCAGTGCTGAGCAGGCCTGTACAGGTGTAACTCAACAGCTTAGACTGTAAGGAAGGAAGGACTGTAACAGAAAAGACTACTCCCAGGGGACACTCAACCACGCTCTGAAACAGGCCAGAGTCTGCCCTTCAGAAGTCTAAGGTGGCAGTTCTGCTGGCTCCCCTCCTTGCTTCCCCAAGAATTGAGAACTCTGTAATTTCATGATCACTCTGCCCAAGATGACCTCCAACCTGTACATCTCCCACTACATCTTCTCTGTTAAGAAGCAGCAGGTCCAGCAGGGCACTTTCTCTCGCTGGTTCCCTCACCAGCTGTGTCAGGAAGTTTTCTTCCACACACTCCAGGAACCTCCAGGGCTGTTCCCTCTCTGCTGGGTTGTATTTCCAGCAGACATCTGGGAAGTTGAAGTCCCCCATGAGAACAAGGACTGGTGATCACGAGGCCTCTGCCAGCTGCTTATAGAATATTTCATCAGCCTCTACACCCTGGCTGAGGGGTCTACAACAAACTCCCACTATGATGTTTGCCTTATTGGCCTTCCCCTTGAGTCTAACCCGTGAACACTCAACAGTGTCATTCACAACATTACGTTCTTGGCATTCAAATCTGTCCCTAACATAATGAGCCACCCCACCACCACTTCTTCCTTGCCTCTCCTTTCTGAAAAGGTAGCCATCAATTGCAGCACTTCAATTGTGTGAGTCTTCCCACCACGTTTCTGTGATGGCAACTGTGTGATAGTTTTCCTGCTGTACAGTGGCCTCCAGCTCCTCCTTAAGATCTAGTTAGTTATTAATTAGTGTGTTCATGAAAATGTTTCTGATTGTGAGAGTTTGGTTTGTGCTGCTCAGAATGCAGGCACCTGCAAACTGACCTAAAATTTTGGCTTGTTAAATTTAGGTAGCTCAGGCACTTGAATTTTCATTGTGCAAGCTGTTCAAAGTAGGAGTTTAATGGGACACTTGTGTGCACAGAAAACAGCAGTTCTTGTGTCCTGTGTGTTGAGAGAAACGAGTAGAGCACACATAAGCCACTATATGTAGCACAGGTGAGTTCATTTTGTAATCAGTCCTGAGAACCAGCAATGCTGGTTTTGCTCATATTCTTTTTCTTCTAAATAAATGAAACCCAGCAGTGCTAATCCCTCCAAACTTGGTTGCTCTTTTCTCCCTACATCTGCCAGAAAAAAATTACCTGCTTTGTGAGTGGTTACTGCTGAGTGTATTTTTGTGCTTTAAACCCTAACATCCTTTTCCTGTCTGTTCATCTTTGCCATACTATGGTCAGCGAGGTGGGAGAAGTACTTCTGTATTACTGTTACTGTGAGGTGAAGGATCCAGAGAAACTGTGTGCTTGGCAAAAGGCTCTGTGCCAGCATCTGCATCTCACTGGCAAGGTAAGGTGTTAAGTGATGGTTGTTTTCTTAACAAAAAAAAATACCTGATTTACTTAGTGCAGGATGATGGGACACGTGGAGAACCAGGTGTTTTGCACCAGAAGGTGCTAGTCTGTTATCACAGAATATTAGGGGTTGGAAGGGACCTCCAAAGATCATCAAGTCCAACCCCCCTGCTGGAGCAGGACCAAAAAAACCCAAAAACCAACTAGGACAGATCACTCAGAAAGGCATCCAGACAGGACTTGAAAGTCACTAGAGAAGGAGACTACAACCTCTCTGGGAGGCCTGTTATGTTCTCTTTAAGGCAGATGCTCAGATTCTGTAGAGAGGCATTTATAATGCTATTTAAGGGCTAACACTAGAAAGAAGAAGAAAGTAATAAAGATAATCTTACATCCCTTTCAATTCTGTGAGCCCCAAGTTGTGCAGCATTGAGCATACCTCTGATCCACTCTGTGCGGATCCTGTTACTCCATCTCCTTCATTCAAACTGGTGCAAATTAGTGGGGTTTTTAATAGGAAAATATGTCTTTTTGTTGCTCCTACTGTCCGACAGAAAGGATATTCACATGCATGGGTCTGGGCTTTCTCCAATTAACTGTAATGTGTGTCACTGTAATGTGTGCAGTGGTCTTCAGTCAGAATGATTACATCAAGCTGTAATCCATTCCACTGTGGAAGGAGGTGAGGGCAACTGACACCTCAGATCACCCCATAGAACAGCAGTGCTCATTCCTGCATAGAGCCTTTGTTCCTTTCATTCCTGGCAGACTAGACCAAGGAGCTGAGTGAGCTCATCCAGCTGGCCTCTCTGTGGCCACTGAATTTCAGCCTCACAAAGCTGATGTTCCTAGGCTGTCTGTGGAAAGAAGAATATTTCAAGAGGGGAGCTCAGAGCAGGAAGCTACTTTTGTCTTTGACAGAAGCACAGAATCATCATGGTTGGAAAAGACCTCTAAGTTCACTGAGTCCAACTGTTCACCCAGAAAAAAACCCACCATTCTCACTAGAGCATGCCCTGTAGTGCCATGTCTGCATGTTTTTTTAATACCTTCAGGGATGGTGACACAACCACCTCCCTTGGCAGCCCATTCCAGTGCCTGACCACTTTTCAGTAAAGAAATTCTTCCTGATACCTCATCTAAACTTCCCCTGGTGCAACTTCAGGCTATTTCCTCTAGTCCTATTGTTACTTGAGAGAAGAGGCCAACACCCACCTCACTACAACCTCCTCTTCCTAGGTAGCTTCTTTTTCTCTGCCAATGGTAGGCACCTTCCCTGTTCTGCACCAGCACAGGTCTGGAGTGAAATGTCCTGACACATTCACTTCTTTTGTTGCTCAGCTTTTTTGTCCTGTGGTTGGTATTTTTCTTATTTATTTTTTCATCTCCAGAACAGGTACAGCATATTGCTTTCTCAAGCAGTTCGTTTATTTCTTGCCTGTTATATTCAGTCTTAGTTTTTTTTGCCCACCACGGTAGAGTTTTTGTTCATTCAACAATGCTGGAGATAAAATTACTCAGACTGAAATTTAATATTCCAATTTTGTTTATATTCACATATTCCTTTTAGCTGTGTGAGTTGTTGGGCACAACACCATTCTTCCTGAGGCAGAATTCCAGTGGGAATTTTAATGGTGACTGCAGGATTTGCCTTTTAGCCAGTTAGCATTGCTCTGCTTATTGCACAAACCTTTCTGACTGTCTTGATGTCGTTCTTTTGAAATGGCTGGGGGTTTATTCCTCTTTTATTTACTGTCTCCTTTATGTTCAACTTCAGTATAGCCATCTTTTTCTTCCCTCTTAGTACTCTCTTTTCTGAGCATAATTCTCTGAGCATAGTTCTCTGAGCATAAAAAATACACCTGCATTTTGTCACCCTGTCATACTTAGCTGATTTCACCATGATCTGTGTTTACCCTTAGTGAGCCTTACTCCCAGCTTCCCCTCTTGCCTTCTAGGTACGAGTTGCTTCAGAAGGGATTAATGGGACAGTTGGTGGAAGCAAAGTAGCTACCAATCTCTACGTGGAAGCTATGCTTTCTCAGCCTCTGTTCAAAGACATTTTGTGTCGAGAGGATTTCAAGGTATGAAAAAATAATGTCTATATAGACTTTGTTAATGCAGGACATTTAATTTTTGAGAAATAAGCACACGGCTTCTTGCTAGTATTATTTCTGCTGTAGCAGTTGTGCTCTCACAGCACTGATCTAAGCCAAGGGTTCCTAACCTTACCATGATATGAGATCATTGCCTAGAAGCCTGCTGTTTTAGGCTCATGCAGACTTTGGCATCCATATGGGTGCACTGTCCTCAAGAGAAGATACACAGGCAGAAACAAGGAGTTTCTCCCTCCTGACTGGAGGGAGAATGGGATGCTCAATTCTGCTTGAGCATGTGTACTGATTGTTCTCTTCAGATGGTGATGGCAGCTGAAGCTGGTGCTACATGGCATTCTGGTGGGCTTTTGCTGCCTCAGCACTGTAGGTACTGGTTTCTTTGTGAGGAAGAAAAACTGCTGCTTTTATAGCATTTTTCTTTTCTATGCAGCTTTATTTGCAGGAGTTACTATTTTATCCCCCAAAATAACTAGATCAAAGGAGTTAGTGAAACTTAGGAAACTCAGATCCCATGTAGAGATGCAGTGCTGATTTAATCTTAGCTTTTTAACCGTCTGTTGTGCTGGGATGAATTTCAGGAGTAAATGTGACCTGTTAGTTATGCCCATGTGTAGATGCAAAAACAGAAAAAAGATGGAATTTTACCTTGGTCTTGGCAAAACCTCCAATCCTGCATGATCTCTAAGGGCATGAAGATTCATGCATTAGTAACTGATGGTATTTTGTGTGTCACAGTTCTCTGCATGCTGTGAACCCAAGTAAGTGGGAGTTTCAGGTTCCTGTGCGAAGACATGGACATAGAGGAGTGAAGATAGTGCTTGGAGCTGTGTAAATGCTGCATGGCCACTGTAGTTGCTGTAGACTGGTGTCTGTGATGGCTGGAACAGTGTTGCACAGCACTGCACTTCTGATTGATATGCTTGATACTACCTAAGTCATGTTTGCAGCTCTGAGCACCACATCTACGTGGCTTTTAAATCCTTCCTGGAATAGTGACTCCACCACTGTCCTGAGCAGCCCATGCAGGGTCTAACAACCCTTCTAGGAAGAAATTGTTCCCAATATCCAAAATAAACCTCCCCTGGCACAACTTGAAGCCATTTCCTGTTGTCCTATCTGTTATTCCTTGGGAAAAATGACCAACCCCCCCTTGCTCCAGCATCCTTTCAGGAAGTTGTAGAGAGTGAGAAGGTCTCCCCTCAGCCTCCTTTTATCCAGGGGGAACACCCCCAGTTCCCTCAGCCACTCCTCATAAGACTTGTGCTTCAGACCCTTCCCCAGCTCCATTGCTCTTCTCTGGACATGCTCCAGCCCCTTGAATGTCCTCCTTTTAGAGAGTGACCCAAAACCGAATAGATTATCTCTCAGAGCATCTCTCATTTTGAGGGCTGAGTTGGGGTCCTGCTACAGGCTGATGCTCCCCCTGTGAGCACCATCACTGCTCAAGCCTGCAGAAATTCTCTCTTCCCATCAGCTGCTGTGGAGCTGCCTACCAGAAAGGGTTTGCCAAGACTTCCAAAGGGATAATCCTGTGCGTGAGGAGTGGGGGGTGTCAGACTCCACTACTAACAAATCTTAATCCTGGCTGACCTCCCATGTGTCTCTTTCATGCCCATGAACCACTGTAGTTCCCATCAAACATGTCATGAGTGGAGGCCTTGCTGTGCTTGTGTCAGGTGTCAGAGGGGCTGGAGAGAGCTGCATGGCTCAGGTGTGTCACCTTGATCTGTAACCATAGGAGGTTATTTAGTTCTTCTGTCAGGGTCAGCATCCTTAGTCAGTTGGGGCCTTCACTTTCTCATGACAGGTGCTGGCCGTTGTTTCTGACCAAGATCTGTTCTCCTTCCCACTCCTTGATGACTCTGCACCTCATTCCAAATGGTGCCTGTCTCACCTGCAGAGTAGTCACTGGGTCTAAGAGCCCTGTCTGACAGCTCACAGAAGGGCTCCACTGCCTAAACCTCAGGATTTAGATTGTGGATCTCTGGCAGGAGAGACATTTCTTTCTCTCAGCCACTGAGACACTTCCATATTCTAGCAAGTTGTAGAAATGAAAGGGAGTGGGTGATTTTAATCTTGACACCTGGCAAATGTTGGTTGATTGTTTTTGTGTTTAATTTCCTAGAACAGCACAGGAGGAGCTCACTGTTTCCCAGACCTTCGAGTTGGAGTATTCAAAGAAATTGTACCTATGGGCATTGATCCAAAGATAGTATCTTATAAAGAAACTGGTAAGTTGATTTGAGGACAAGTAAAGCCTCTCACCCAAGTGAGAGGTGAGTGAAGAATAAAGTTCCTGCATCAAAAACATTTCCCACTGCACAGTGGCCAGGACACAGAAGAAGTAGATACAGAAATTTATTTCTTACTGGTACCAAAAATTACTAGTGCAGGGAATTTCCTGGTGCAAGGAATTTCCTGGCTCAGGTTTTGGTTTGCAGAGTGTTTAGCTGACTCAAAAACACTTTAGAATGACCTTTTTTTTGGTGGGAGCTCGAATGACATCAAGCAGTTACCTTGTTTTGGGGTAGGAACATACCTTGTGCTTTAGTCAGGGACTAAGTCATTGAGCGCCTGCTAAAGGTAGATGTGTGGTGGTTAGGGAAGACATATCAATACATTAATGTCTTTGTATTTGTTCTAAGTGTTCTGTAGGTGCTTAAGACTGCTCAGAAATTATACCATATAAAGAACTCTAGTGGTCTCCCTTTGTGGTTACCTTGCAGTTAAGAACCAAGCTGTATAGGAAGAGCTTTCCATGGAGTCCTCTTGTGCGTCCAGTGGATTCTGGTGCTGTGGATGCCAAGAGCTTGCTTTTTTTTTTAATTTTAAGAAAATGCCAGAATCCTGCTGCAGCTTACAGTTGAGTATATATATATATATATATTCCTATGTTAGGGACTGCTGACTTGGCTTTTACTGTGTTGAAGTTAACAGTTACACTCCTGCCTTTTGCACTAAAGCAGAGCCAAGTTCTGCATCAGTTTCATGCCACTCCCCTAACATAGGCTGTGCTTGTTTTCTGTTACCTGTAGCTGGTTAGTATGGATTATGCCTGGTAAGATGTTCCTGTCTGTGCATCTGCTGTGAGGACACTTAAGTAGTTGGTAAGCAGGAGCACAGAAAATAGCAATTAACAGCAGTTTTGGGTTTGTTTTTCCACCAAGAGGTTTTGTTGGTGGTAAATTTCTACAGCTTCTGTTGTTTTGGCAGAAGTTTAATTTTTTTGTCAGTTTGTGTGATGTATGTTTGGATTTATTTATTTTTTTTCCCTTTTTCCTCCAATTTTACAGTATTTTCTGGAGATTATTTCCATTACTCTGGCAGGTTGCTCATAGGGTTTATTTTTAAAGAGGGATTTGAGGGGAGAGATTTTTTGTTTCTCCATAGGTTGGGAGTCCTAAGCTCTGAGCAACCCAAAAACTGAGACACTTTATGTAATTTGAAGTTGTACTGAAAGTAATACATCCTTATACAAAATTTATATTTTTATCAACAGAGAGAGTTTTATTGAAAACAAAGGCATTTTTGTAACCTTTTGTAACCTGCACCTCCAAATGTAACGAGACATGAGCAGAGAGAAAGGAAACATTTTTCAGTCTCTGTTTTACAACTGTAAGAGATGCCAAGTGCACTTAGCAAACATCACTGAGACAGGCACCTGTCTGCTGCTGCTTCTGTCATGTGAAACAGTGTTGTGTTTTCATTTGTCAGTAGGAATCCCAACATGGATAAACTTGCCTGGTTGAGATGGGTTGGAAAGTCTGTGAACCATCACATAAAATCTTCATTTGGAAATCTGAGGGTAATCTGGATCAGCAAGATCATACACAACATTGTTTTGTAGTGCTGCTTCTCACTTCTTTATCTTAATTTTCTTTTTCTTTCTTTCTTGTTTTCTTTTTTGGTTAAAGGAATCCATTTATCCCCTCAGGAATTTCATAAAGAAGTGGAACAGTATTTGTCTCAGGCCAGTGAAGGAGAAAGTGATACCATCTTGCTGGACTGTAGGAACTTCTATGAAAGTAAAATAGTAAGTGTTTCTTACACTTCTTTCAGTGTGTTACAGGTGTTGGGGGGAAGAATTTCACATTGTGAGGATGTAGCCTTACTAGAAGATATTCCATATTCCAGACTGACTGTAATACACACAGAGTTCAGTTAAATGAGTATTAGATACAAGCAGCAGAGGAGTTGCTCAGTGACTCAGCATGGAACCGGTTCAGCTCAATGTTTGTACAGCTTGGGGCACGAAGAAGACAAAGTGGTCCACATGACATTAGCAGTGAATGCCACATAGTTTGTAGTAGAAGTAGCTTAATTTTTAAGGATATTTTCCAGCATTTTTGCCATGTCCCATGTGTCAAAAAGACTGGGGCATCCTGCTGTCATACCCATCAGCCTTTCTGCACTGTTGTGGCCTGTCCTTTCTCTGACAGTTCTGTACCATTTAGCTCCCTCTGTTTGAATGAGGAGACATGCTGTGTACAGAATCCTTTTACAGATTTTAGCAGATTTGATGCATAAATGCAGCTGAGGAACTGCCTAAAGCAGCTGCAGTGGGCTGGGTGTGCTGGCCCAAAAGGTCTGTTACTCCTTCTACTCTAGTTCTAGACACAGACCTTATAATGTATGACTGCTTTTAAACAGTTGCATGGCCATCTGTTGTTATTGCAGGGACATTTCCAAGGCTGTCTGGCTCCAAATATCAGGAAGTTCAGCTATTTTCCCAGCTATGTAGATGAAAACTTGGAGCTTTTTAAAGACAAGCGTGTCCTGATGTACTGCACAGGAGGGATTCGTTGTGAAAGAGGCTCTGCCTACCTACGGAGCAAGGTGAGATGTCATTCTGAGGGCAGAAGTGTATGGGAGGTGAAACTGCTTTAAGAGCAGCTGTCTTCTTATGCTGGTAAATTCTTACTGAGCCCAAACTGCTCAGTGAGCAGGTAGGCAGATAAGTGTCTGACACGTGCTTGCCTCATCCTGTCTGTCAACAACGTGCGTAGTTTGATGCAGCTCAGGATGATCTGTGTGGACTAGTGTCACAGCAGTGATTACTCCTTGAAAATAATAACCCATTTGCTGAGAAGAGGTGTTTGTAAGTCACCCCTGCCCATTGTAGTAGTGTTTTAGGAGGACTTGAGAGCCTTCTGCAGTGCTTACATGAGCTCTGTCTAGGTTACATGAGCTCTGTGGTCATTACTTCACACCTTGAGCATCCCAGAGTAGTGAAAATCAGACAGTGCTTTCCCAGTGATGTTGGAATTAAATCTAGCACACTGCATTGTTTTATTTGTGCATTCCATCCTACTCTTCTCCTGAATCCTTCCCTCAAGGTGCAAGGGGACAGCATACTTGTATGTTCTCCAGAGATGTAAACCTCGATTTTTTTTTTCTCTGCTGCACCAGTGTGAACCCTGAGAAATTCTGCCCCTCCTAACAGCTCACTGCATAAAACCAGTTATTCTGCAGCAGGTCACAGAAGTTCAAAGGCATTTGATCTGTGATGCAGCAAACCTTTCTCAGCCGAGGAGGTTACCAGCCTTTTTTTGGCTGTGACATTAAATGCACACTTGGCTTCATGTCAACAAGCCAGCATTGTGGAGCTGCCCAGTAACCCCTGGTGGCACTGCCTAGAGTTGTGGGTGCACATGATGCCATCTCATGGTCCCTGAGAAGCTGCTGCTTTTTGTTGATCCCCGGTGTTCACAATATTTTCTTTGGGAATTCTGGTATACCACCACGGCTGCTGTCTCCTTCAGCTTTTCTGCTAATATGCTTTAAACAGGCAGTGTGCAGAGAGGTTTACCAGCTAAAAGGTGGAATTCACAAGTACCTGGAAGAGTTTCCAGATGGATTCTACAGGGGGAAGCTGTTTGTATTTGATGATCGTTACGCCATTTGTTCCAATGAAGATATCATCTCAGGTAGGATTAGTTAATGTAAGTGCAGACACTGGGAAGTTGTTGCAGTAATTTTCACAGAGGTGTGCAGGATAGGGGCAGCCAAACTGGTCTTGGCAGTTCTTCCTCATACTCACTTTGATCTTTTGGTGCCCTCACTTTTCATGATCATTATCCACTTTTTAACACGTAAGGCAGAAATGAGAGAACGGTCACTAAACAGAGTTCCCTAAAACTGGAGAAGTAAAAGGAAGCATCCCCTGTGGAATAGCTGCTGTTATGAGCCATCTGCAGCTATGGAGATGTATGTCAAGCACTACTGCTGTTGTTACCTGCTTCTTGCCTACAGTGCTGAATAGACTGTTTGGCCAAGTGACCAAAGCATTCAATAGTTCTCCTGCTGTCAGCTGTTCTCTGCTCCAGTAATCTCACAGAACATCAGCACAGACTGCCAGGCGTTAGGAGAATCGTTGCACAAAGCTCTACAGCACTTAGTTATTTTCATGCTTTAGAAGTTTCTGTAGCTTGTAGAATTTCAGTGACCTCTAGTTGAAGTTACTAAGAACATGGCCTAGTCTGGCTTGGGTCACTCATCAGATAATGCAAATGAATTGCCTGTTTTCTTCCTCTCAGTTGAGAGGTACAAATAGATGGAATTTGCCTCTGGGCTTTTTGAGGAAGCAGTGCTACCTTTTCTCTGACTGGGTAGCTTTTTGAGCATAACCTCCCATTCCTCCTCTGCAATTACAGTATACATCTTGAAGGTGCCTGACTTGGTGTAAAACAGAACCTGGATACATCACAGCCATCCCTACAGAAGTGTTGAAGGGAAGTGCTGGGGTAGGCACCTTCTTGATGGTACAGCTAAACTGGGCTGTAGCTATTGGTTAAAACCTGCCTGATGTTGTGGAAGGACTCTACAAGGACTGCTAATGACACCCCATCTGCACAAGCTATTAGCTTTAGGTGGAGGGAAGTCCCATGGCATCCCCATCCCCCGCAGGCAACGTTCCTTAATTATCACCAGCAAATCTTTCTTCTATTGATAGCAAGAATCTTTAAATCTGTCTAATCATAACTAGAGGAAGCACTTGTGAGCATGTTTTCCTGAGAGAGCTGTCCTAAGTTTTTTACGTCAAAATCAGAAGTTTGAAAATTAACTAGGTTCTAGAAGATCTAGCTAAAGCAGGAATTAAAAACCTGAAAGAGAATAGATGGCCATGAGAGATTGAAGCCCCCTGGTGCTGCAGAAAACCCTCTGCAAGAAGAACAGATGGGGCAATGTGATTAACTTTTTCTTTTCCTCCTCCCTGCAGCATGCAGATACTGTGGGGCACTGTGGGACCAGTATAAACTTTGTTCCAGCCAGCACTGCCGGCAGCTTGTCCTGACGTGTCCAAGTTGTCACAACAAAGGTCTTACAGCCTGCTGTCCTGTTTGTCAAGAGAAGGAGCTCAAGGTGACTTCAGGGGCTTCAGGACAGACACTTAAGGAGGAATGTGAATGTACAAGGAGACGGCCAAGGGTACCTATTGAACATGTCTCAAAAAGGAGGCTTGACACAGGGAAAAATTAAGCTGTTTCATGAATTAATCTCAAAAGTGCTAATGCAAAGGGCTTCTATAACCAGATCCCTATGTGTTGCTCAGTTGGGTTTGGAAGTAATGAAAATGGGTTAGCTTGGAAAGTCTTGTTCAATATGCTGCCTTTAAGCCTAGACTATGCCCTGAAAACCATCCATTACTTGACTGCAAATTACCAGAGTGCCCAAATCATCACCAGCACTACAGGGTTCCTCTCACTACATACAGTCTTGTAGGGTGGCCTTTGCCATGGGGATTTTGGAGCAGAATATATGCAAAGGGACACAGCTGCTCACAAATCAAAGTAAACTGAAGGGACATAACAATTGCATTATTCTCCTCCTGCATGGAGATCTCCGATCTCTCCACTGATCGTTTGCTTCAGTAGGTAGTGCTAGGGTGTGAAAACAGCAGATGCATCAATAGACTGGAGGATATTTTCAACGTATGTGCCACCTGCCTACATCTCTTGCTTTATACCAATGAGAAGCAAGGGGTACTTACCTGAAGTCAGTGACTTGACTCCTGTGTAAAACTGGCTGTAAAGCAGTGCTAGGACCCCTCTTGGACCTGGAGCAAAGGCCCACAGGTAGATACTGTCTGCCCACACTGTTTGTGTGACCTATGGGACGAACAGCAGAAGTATTCTTCATTCCAGTGCTCTGTCTCCCCAGGAGCTGTTGTTTCCCTCAACTTGTCAGTACATGAAAAATCCAGGGCTCAGCTCTGTTTGCACTCAAAAAACTCGACAGCTTGAAGCATGTTGGAACTGAGACACACAGCTAGAGGAGCACAGAGACCATCAAAAAAAGCAGCATTACAGCACTGGAAGTGATGCTCACCTGTGCATAAATGTCAGCAACAGCTAAAAGGACATTGCAAGATCCACATGAAATTCAAGATTGGGGGGAGCATTTGTGCTTTGTAAACAGGGGTTGAGTTTTTCAAAAGCTGTGAGATGTTTATGCAATTTCTGGCTCTTATTAGTGGAGAAATTGTCTTTTAGGGGATTTGCAGCATATGAGCTCAATATACTTCTCTGCCAGCTGCTTTGTGTGCTTGATGCTGTAGAATGTACAGAAGGGTTTTACTGATAGTGTAGATGTGTCTTGACTAAAAAATGTCCTTGCAATGTACTGTCATTCTTGGTACTAAATAGCAGTTAGTCATCAGGAAATCAAAAATCACTTACTGGTCCGTTGGCATTTTTTGCTGGCAACTGTTTTTAAAAGTAAGGTAACTCAGGTTTCTGCAGTTGCTTAATTACAGTTAGGGCAATGTTATTTCATAGAGATTGCAGCTTTCTTCCATAGTGCTATGAATTCATTGTTGGCTTGATTAGCAACTTAAGGACATGGGCATTGGTTCCATTGAAGCCATGGCAAGCATTTCTTCTTGCTTCCAGTAATGCTACCATGAAATCAGCCACTCAGGAATTGTCTTTATGACTGTTCCTTACATGAAGCAAAGCCTTGAAACTTATTAATATCTCCTTTGGGAATCTTTCTAGGATAGCATTTAATAGCAAATTCTTCTCTATATTGGAGAAGAAATTGGAAAATTCCCATCAGTTGAAGTCTAAGCCGTACTCATGGTCCTCTGGCATCTTGCCTCCCAAGCTTTGCTGGCCAGTTAACCTCTGTGCTTTTGAGGATTGGAGTATTTGTGGAAAATCATGCAAGCTCTACTTGCAGGCCTGGTTTAGAGCACTGATGGGAGTGTCCCAATTTGCATGTTAAACTCTTTATTTTCATAATCTGTTAAGCTAAACCCCACAATTTTGTAATTCAGTCCGTCAGCAAGTCTGGAACACGCTCATCTACTTGATGGCTGTTTCTGTATCTCTTTAACAGTACAGAATGGCAACAACTATATATTATGTAGTACACTTCTGGAACTCCTGTGCTGATGATAAATAACGTCTAGTGCTTCCATCCTAATTTTTGAAATACTGCACAAATACACCTCACCTCTTGTGTTGGAGGTGCTTAATGCTGCAGAGGTAAATGCTCAAACCTAGCTAGCTGTCTGCCGTGTGGCAGGTCTAGCTACAAGGTACAGTTCTCCTGTGCACTCCTGGCAGCTGGAGATTCTACCTCAAAAGCAGAGGGGAGCTATGGGGCCTCTTCTGGTCCTTGCTGCACTAAGGCAAGGGAGGAGACTGATTTGAGATGTAAAGATGGAGGCCCATAAAGCCAGGTTTCCTCTGCTACACGGAGGAGAGAGGTAACTAAGATCATCCTTAGCCTCCCTCTTGCAAGTTAGTCCATAAGCAGCTTCTGCATCCTGGCTTCTGGATTAGTTTTGTCAGTTGAATACAAATAAGGACTTAACATGTGAAATGCTGTATGGTGGGATCCAGGCACCTCAGTGGTAATAATGCCTGAGAGAAGGCACATTAGCTCCAGGGATGTTGACAGGTAAGCAGGACTGGCTGCATCTGCCAGATGCTGCAGTCAGCAGCTTTGGCTTTTTTCCCCTTTTCCTGGAGAGCTGCTGGGACAAACAGTGATCTGTGTTTCTCCTAAATATCACTATTTTGTAGCTTACATCACTACACAGCTTGATGCCATTCACTACAAAGCCTGATGCCTCTAAGCACTGCCTGTCTCTGGTGCACAGATCTCAACTCTCACACACATCTTTCAGCTAAGCAGTTCTGTAAGGATCAACTGAGGAACCTGGAGTGGTCCTGCTAGCTTCATATATGCTTAGGCTGCATAGTAAATTTGCATGCTGCTCCAGTGAAACACAGGGCAACGTTCTTGCTGGTTTTTATTTTGTTTCATTGTTGTTTTTTTCCTTTATAAGAGCTATTTTTTTTTCATTCATGCAAAAATGCTATTGCGGTATCCATGGTACTGCTCCGTGCTCTGCACATGCATCTCCTTGCATGTCTGGGTCTCTTAGCACAGTCAGCATTTCACAGGATAAGATGAATTTATATTCTGAAGCCAGTGGAAGAGCTGAGCCCATAACATGAAAATCTGTGTGGATGGCTCAGCTGAAACACAATGTGATGATTCAGTTGATGGTTTTGAAGTATTTGTGGTGCGTATGGAAGGAAGAGGCTGTGTGCCAGGTGTTTGCTTGGTTTTTTCGTAAGTTTTCAAGTATTTTTCTTATATATTCTGACCTGGAACTTGCAGGGTGGAGGGAAGAAGCTATAGTGAAGCACTTTATTTGACAACATTGACACATTTATTAAGATTTTAAGAGCAACAGATGTCTCCCATATTGTTGAACGTACAGGTTTTCTCTGCTCCAGTGGTCAGAGCTAAATCATGTATGGTGTTTGCACACAAGCTCTGAAGCAATTTGAGGGACTTTTGTTGGAGTATGTGTAAAAGTCTTGCAAAACTTCACTCCTCACAAGTGTGCACAGACAGATTTCTAACAAGTGGGAACATTTTCCAGGACACATTGTCATCAGACCAAGAATAAGGCTTCAGTACAGCAACACTTCTGCCAGGAGACTTCCTAGCAAGCAGGATCCCACTCATGTTAATAGTGGGAGTTTTGGATGGGCTAGTGCTCGGTCCAATGCACTGCACATCTGGGAGCTACCCAGGCCTATGGAGAATTCTTTCCAGACTAGATGATGGTGCCAGACTGACAGAAACTGTCAGACTGTTTGCAGTGTAAATTTGGAGTTGGGATATTTCACTTAGCAGCTTTTCTAGGGCATATCTACTGTTGCATTTATGCAGGAATTATGGAAGGCAGTAAAATAAATATATCCCCAGCAGAACAAAATGTAATTAGTAGACATTGCCATCTAGAGAAAACAGCAAAGAAAGAACTTTGTTTCCAGTGAATATCTGGACACACACCTTTAACATTATGTCACTGAAGGAAGTGGAGATTTTTGAAAAGAGGGTTCTGGTTTGCTGATTAGCTTGGCCATCTCCTTTGGGCTAGGATTTGCATTGCATCTATAAAGGTGGCAGTTTTCTTCATATGTGTGTAGGATGGAAGGATATTAATACATCAATTTTTGAGACTCTGTTGGTGGCCTTAAGTTCCATTTAATCAGGGGGTAGATAGAATTTTTTCTAAGAAACACAAAGATGCATTGGAAACAGCATCTCCAACTGATTGACAGATGTCGGTAAAAAATTGTAAATCACACCTCTTGAAGTTAGCCATGTTTCCATGTAGTACAAGTGCTTGTTAAACTAGTTGCTCCTCTCTAGTTACTTGAGATCAATTTGGGAAAAAAAAATAAAGTATTTTTTTAATACTTCTGTAATTTGTGTGGAACAGTTCTATCTTTCACTCATGCATAGCACATCCTAACTGTATGAAACACCGTGCAGGTAGTTTATAGAAAAATTGGGTCCCAGGTTAATTAAGATTCACTTTTACACTGGGATGTACTCTAAACTGAGATTGCATAAAAATTGCAGGTTGTTACTGGCTTGAACAGTTTCCAGCTCTATAGAAAACATCAACAGTCCTACTGTTGAAAATCTTCAACTACAGCCACTAGTTAATTTAAACTGTTAGTGCATAAAACAGAACCAGGCACCACAAATACTCTGTCAAGGCACTTAGTTGCCTTTAGATTTCCACAGTGTAGCACAGATCACCGGGAATGACCTCCATAGCCAGGAGCTACACTCCAGTTCTGCACTTGGGAAAAATAGGCCCGTTCAACTCTGCTAGTCTTCTCCTCTTCCTCACTGAAAAAGAAGAGGGAGAGGAGTCAGTCATGGCACTGGGAAGATGTGGATGGCAGGCTTGGTTTGCCTGCTGTGGAAAGGAGCCTAGAAGGATACTTTCTGCCAGGAAAGAAACAGGGTAGCATCAGGTTCTGAATTCCTGCTTCAAGCAGTAGGCACAGCCTTACAGTTTAAGGAAAGGAAGATAAAGTTTCCATCCCTAAGAATATTTAGGGCCGGAAGCTACTTTCAGCCTCACTTCCCTTGTTCTGCAGTTGTATTTCACACAGTTTGTCTTTGCAATCTGACTTTGGCCAAAAGGTCATCTGATGCTGATAGGTGTAAAGACAGCAGGAGATGGATGCCACAGTTGTTCCTTTGCTAGTTTTTCTCAATTGCCCTTTCAAGTTTAAAAAAAAAAATAAAAAAATTTAAAATTCCATCTGATTTCTTATCCTAAGCTTTTAGCCTCCAGCCCCTCTGATCAAAGTTAACATGGTCAAACCAGTCTATCTACTCTTAGAGTTGATATACAGCCTTGACAGCTACACTCATGCCTTTTCAAGAAATGTGTGTGAGAAAAAAAAGGGGAAAAAAAAAGTTATAAAGAGGATGCAGAAGTTAGGTCATAAGAAGCAATGTAAAAGCCTTCATACTTGGTTCATACAGAGCATTTTAGAGAACAGAAGCTACAGGACCAAAATCAAGGGCTGGTAGCATCAGGTGATGATAGCAAGAGCACTGGAGTGGGGAACAGGCAGAGAGCTGTTGCTGACAGGGAGAAAAATGAGGTTTTTCTATACTTATACATTGTCCAGGTGTAGAGCTGAGGTGCTCTTGCCAGAGGCCATCACACTGATGAAAACGAGCTGCAAACAAGAACCAAATAAGACAAAAATGCAAATCTTAATGGGAAAAAAAGGCAAAATGCACTTCCAGCTGATTACTTGGAATGTCAGGTGCTGCACTGTCATTAATAAACTTGCCATGATCCAAAGGACAGAAAATAGTAAGCCTTTCCTGGTGCAGCCCTCTAGTGACTGGGAATGCAGTCACAGGCAGAATAAATACGCAGTGAAACATAATACTGAGTATTCTGTGTGACCAGTGAAGAACTGGCACAGAACCTCTGCACTGGCTGAAGCAAGGTTGATTAAAAAAAAAAATAATATATTTTTTAAAAACATATTTACCATCTGCCTAAATATGGCAGCCACTTAAAGCTGTTTTTCAGTGGCTTTTCAACATGAAGTTGATTCATGAAGGGTCAGAAGACCCTGTCTGTGGTGAGCCATATGCAGATTGAAATCTGTGGCTCCAGTTCTCCATGGCTGGCACTTATACACTGGGGCTTTTCTCAGACTGCCTGTTAGCCCTTGTTTTCTAGATGTGTCTGGCAGAACCCAGCAGTGCTAATAATGGTGGTAGGTGTTCCTGGGAGCCTCCAGCCCAACCTCCCACTCTGCCCAGCACTGGGGCAGGGCAGCTGCTGCCTCTTGTAAACCCCCACCCTCCTGGGGAAGTTCTTCTCAAGATACTAAACAGGACAAGCTGCAAACTTCTGCTTATTCCTCCTCGCTGTATCGCTTGCTGCTGCCAGGAAGGAGCTGGGCAATGTCATGTTGGTAACCACCCTGCCGAGGCAGGTGGGACCCACTGAGCACCGGGTGGCTGGTATGTTGGCTACATTCCATGCTGCTCTGCTGGTCTGATTTCCAGCGCTCTGCAGCAGCCTGTATCAATGGGAAGCCTCTGCCACATGGATTGGCTGAAATGGCAGTTTGCAGACTTGCCTGCATTTAGCTTCTCAAGCATTTCTGGTCACTTCACTGAAGGTATAAAGATGACTCAAACCCACGTGCTTCCCACCTCTCCCTAGAAACACTTCCAGTTTGTTTTGCTGAAGGGGATGAGCCAAGTCTCACTGCCTTCAAAGTTCAACTCTATACTTTTCATCTCCTTGTTAAACTGGAATGAAGATGGAGGAAGACAAACATTTGGCAGGAATCACAAGTGCTGGCAGCTCACAACCCGTGTGCCAGATGCTGTACCAAACTGAAACCTGTTAGCAGCTCTTGCATCTTTCCCAACAAGACCCACTGTGACTGCCAAAAACACTGCCTCTCCTGGGAGTTTTAGCTGCCCAGTGTCTCCAGGTTTGGAGCATGACCAATTGCCTGGCCAACAGCAGCTGTGTTAGGGAACTGGTCAGTGGAGGCTGCTTTCCTCCTTGAAGCCCTTCAAAGAGGTGGTTTCTAATTCAAGCATAACCACCAGAGCTTTCAAGTGAGCAGTTCTGCCCCTCTCCCACCAGGAACTGCCAAGAGACAAAGGGATCCTTTGCTGACTCACCCAGGTCATTGTTATTCATCATGGCATTGGAGGCACGGAGCCGGGGACCTTGCTGAGTGAAGTGGTACCCAAACTTCAGCAAGGTGGTGTTTTTTTCCAACATGTTTGCAATTTCCATTTCCACTTTGTTGCCCAAGGGCTGGCTCTTTTGAAAACAGAAAACAGGAAAGCAAGCTGGTGAGGTTAGAGGGTGATTCAGAAAGAACACTGATCTGCCATCTCCATCCCTTCTCTCCTTCTTTGGACGTGTTCGTCCATTTGGTATTTCTGACTTGGAGATGGTGAAACAAACTGCTGGCCTATTCCTGGTACAAACACGTGGCTCCTTCTTGATACCACCTAGTGGCTCTAAATCCTCCAGCAGGTGTTCCCTGCCCAAAGACTCAGCCCAAAGACTCAGCTGCTTTCACTATTACACCCTGGGTTTCTGGGGGAGCTAAGCTTGCCACAGCATCTGTACCACACACTCTGGATCTCTCCTTCTCTTTCCTTTGCATGGTAGAAAATTTTCAACATAACTACAGAGACATTATTTAAGTACCCACAAAAGCTGGGAGCAAGGTGTGACATGGGACAGGTGCATCACTGCTCTCCAGGGCAGCACCACAACACAGGGAGCTGCTTGTACTGCCACAGCCTCTGTTAATTACTGTAGGTAGTAGCAGATACCGCTCAGGAACTGCAACAGAAACAAGGGGCTGAAACCTCTCCAAAACAACCTGGCAGTGGGCTACAACCCTCCAGCTTGACCAGCTATTCCATTTCCCACAGCCAGGACACACTCCCTTGATCAGGGCCCTGGCTGACACGTGCGGTACCTGGTTGTCGATGCGCAGCTCCACCAGGGAGGTGTTGCCCTGGAGCGCTTCAACAACTGCCAGGATCCCCGATCCAGAAATGAAGTTTGATTCCACGTTCAGGATCGTCAGTGTATTATTGACTTTCAGCATTTCAGCCAGCGCCTGCAGGCAGAGGTGGGTGGGAAGGAGCTGACAGTCAGACAAGCAGGGGCAGAGCACCCCAGAGCAGCAGGGGTTCAGCTCCCCTCACCTCTGGGGGACACTGGGAAGGCTCAGAGTGCCGAGCAGTTTCAGTGACACCAGGCAGGAGAGCTCTCTGCAGGAGGAGGGGGCTTCCCCCTCTTGCAGGGGGATTCTTGAATGTAAGCATGCTGGAGGCCACAGAAAAACCTTGTATGGAGAAACCCTTAGGGCCACCCCAAAAGATGACAATCCACACCTGCGCTGCCCTGTGGCAGCTTCATCTCTCCCCCTGCTAAAGCCAGCATCCAGAATGGTGATGGCAGGGATGCTGGCACTGCCTCCTGCCAGAGCAGCTCCCTGCCTGCACTGCTCCTCCTTGGAAAGGACTGAGATGTTTCCCTTTACAGCAGGCAGAGAGACAAGCCTCTGTCTTGAAAAACAAGGGATTCTCCACCTCCAATACATCCTCCCAAGTGGCATCACAGCCTTATTAATTGCTTTTGCTTCCCTCAGCTGGTAAGGCCAGAAGTGGGCCAGCATGTGCCCAACCCCCTCGACCTGATCTGATAACCTGTCTATGTCATGAAACATAAGAACCAGAAGTTGATGCTCAAGTGGCAGAGCTGACCTGTGCACAACTCACACAGCACTTGGCTCCACAGCTCCCTTAGCTCTGTGCAGTGCCCCATGGGCCCTCAAAAATCACCAATGCTGCCTGCACAGGCTTCTTTCCCAGTTCAGAGGACCTGAAATAACATGAGAGCTGTACTCACTCTCCAAAAAGCAGTGTTTTTCTAAAAGGAAACCAGTGTGCATGGAGGTAGGTAGGGATGGCCTGGGTGAAGAAAAGCAAAAACTGGGTGCAGTAGTGCTGCAGGAATGTGCAAGGATGCAGCCTGGAAGGCAGCAAAAGGGCCAAGCAGAACAGCTCAGCACCTCTCTGCGTCCCCGCTGACAGTTAAGACCACTCTTGGCAGCCAGAAAGACCCTCTTAACCTACAGAGGGCACACATAGGAAATGCAGAGTCCTGCTTCTGCACAGGATTGCACAAAGGAGTGTTTGAAAGGGAGCTGGAGAGGATGTGTGCAGGGGCTGGGACAGGTGAGCACACTGCAGCATAGGCCTCCTTACCCAGAGGAACAAATGGGGGGGTCTGATGTAGGATAAATCCAGAGAGACAAACTGCTTTTACAAAATGCCACTGAGAAGTCAGTTCTTGTCTCACACTCCTTTTCCAGGAGATCCTTGAGGACAAATACAAGGCCCATTGGGATTAAAAGGTTGTGTGCTGAAAACCCCACAGCTGAAAAAGGAAGTGGAGGAACTCAATCCTGTCTGTCACTGGCTTTCACTAGCACTCCTGAAACTGCAGCACCTGCACCAAATGCCAGAGGTGCAGAACGTGCCAAACGCAGCGCACACTGCACAGCAGTCAGCCAGAAACTTCAAAAATACCTTGCCCAAGAACAGCTCCTGTCACAGCTTTATGGCTGCAAGCTGACAGTACTTACAAAAGCAACAGGATCGTTGCTCCGTGTCCCAACTATACTGAATTTCTTCACATAGGTGTTATTTTTCAGTGCTTCCGCAAAAGCTTTTAAAGTTGGTATGGGAATATTCTGTGAAAAGTAGGAGAACCTGTGTTAGACCATTGTCCTTGTGAGGGAAAATAAAATACATTTAAATGATACTTCTTATCAAATTTCTTATCAAGGTGAAATCACCAAATGCACTGATGTAATTCAGGAAGGGGTCAATACATGTTTTTATAAGTTCTCTTGCTATAATCAGCATGGCCTAATGAGTATGGCCCTGTCTCCATCCCCTTTCCCACTCTGAAGATAGCTCACTGCCCGGATTTGAAGCTACAATGTCTCTGCTGTTTAATTTAACTGCCCAGAAATGCAGCTACTTAAAAAAGTAGGCGTTGTGGGGATCTATGTAACTACGATCCATGAGCCTGCAAAGCACTGCTCCTGAGCTTGTTAATCACAGCATCGAGCAACATTCATGGCATGTTCATGGAAACTTCCACCTACAGGGTCTTATCCAGAAAGACCTGAAATGATCTCCTTATAGAACAAGCCACAGACACTTTGACTGCTTTCTTTCAGGCTAACATTTGCCATGCTAGGTCTCAGCCTGGAAAAAAAAATCCATGCTGCTTATTTTAATTCCAACAAAATGAGTATTTTTCACTTATCAAGCCTGTTAGATACCCTTTTCAGACACAGACATTTTCACCTGTCTAAAATTTTAAGCAGTATCCTCAGCTTGGGCTTCTTGCCACACCATTTGGATCGCATCATGTGGAATCATCTACAGCTACAGTCAAAGCCATCAGCAGAGCTGTAACAGAAAGCCCAGCAGCTTACCCTCTCCACTCCCACTCCCCAGTTCTCCAAACCGTGCCCCAAAGACTTCAGTCCAACACACAAAAAAACTGCCTGCCTGCTCAAGCCTTAGCCTGCTGTCCTCAAAGGATATTCAAGGCCACTAGACAGAACCAAATACATGAAGCTAAAAATCTTTTCATTATAGGAAGGTGTAGCTGGCATGCCACAAATGTTTTTAATGTGCATGTGTAGTAATCCATGCTTGCTGTTTGAATATGTCATGATTCAACAGACCCCCTGGAGGGAGGGCCCTGGAGTCAGGGAGACAGACAGCAATTGTATTTTCTGTATGTTTATGTGCATCAGAGGCAACTTAAGAAGTGGCACTGTGTCCTGATTTGCTTTCTACAGGAAGTAAAGGAGTCCCACAGAAGAGATGGCTGGGAGATGGACAGGGCTACCTGCAAGAAGGGAGATTACTTCATATTTTCATGGCAAATGTCAGGTTTATGAAGCCTTCTTCCTCCCACTATTTTATCTCACATAAACAGCCCCTCCACCAAATGTGCCTGACTAAACCAATAAAGCAATATAGAACACCTTTAACCAGACAGGCTTTAACCAGACCAGACAGATCTCCCAAACTACCCACAACACAGCTCTGCTCTTCCAGGCATCTACAGGAGTCCTCCTGCTACCACAGGAGGTGCCACTGTTGTCCCACAGCAGGTAACAATCCCTGTTGGCCAGAACAGAAATGGGAAGCACTGGTGTTTCTTGCCTGGCTAAACACAGTGTTATGGTACCACTCTGTGCAGCAAAGCAGATTTGGTCTCTGCCTTCCATATGTCAAATGCATGGTCTTGTTAACAAGAGAGGAGAGTAGAAAGGAGCAAATACCATAATATTGTTAAGGTTGACTTCTTCAAGGTCAGGATCATTGGTTTGTATTCGTTTCAGAGTTTCCTCTACATCTGTTGAGTTTGGTTCCTCATCAGGAACTGGTTTGTACTGTGTGGGCTTAATCACACCTGCAAGTGAAAAACAAGACACGTGAAAACAAAAGCGCCCTGACCAGTATCATGTCCTCTTTGGGTGCGTTTCTCTTCCAGAAGCAGTGCTGGGAGAGGGCAGTGTGACCTGACAGACACAGGACGAGACCCAGCAGCCCTCGGCACCTCCACTTGCGCTCAGGTGCATGTGGAAAGGCTGCCCAGCCAGCACAGGACAGCTGCTGCCTGCTGCTCTGGGCTCTCAGGGTCATGCAGTGGGTGGTGGAGGGCACACTGCCTGCCTGGGGCTGCTCCCTGAGATGCCATTGCTCCCAGATGGTGCCAGCGCAGCAGCTGAGGCTGCATGGGATCTCACCGGGCAAGGATTCACCAGAGACTGCCCCTACAATCATAGGCTTCTCCAACAGTCATGGCTTGAACCTTCAGCCTAGAAAGTAATTCCCACTTTGCCTCTGTTAGCAGCTTCAAAGCCAAACAGAGCAGCCTGCTAACACTTTGTATCACTTACTGTTGAGACCTTCTTTGTTCACAATGGTGCTGCTCCCCAGTGCCTCATAGTACTGCTGGTTACTCATCAAGGTGTGCATGCCAAGGATGGCTAGAAAAAAAGGAGAACATGACTTGAGGTATTGCAGTCTCCAAAGCTAGGAAAAGACACATTTATGCCATCCTGTCTGGGATGGGGGTCTATAGTGCATTACCTTTTCCTGAGCAAGCAGAGAGCAACACACAAAGGTGGGACTGACCTCCTCGGCTGACACAAATATGCAACAGCACTCTGATGTGCTCCCCCCTTTATGCCCATATTGTATGATCCATAGCAGAAGGGGAGCTTCACCTAGCAGACAGGCAACAGCCAAACATAAAAGACTTCCCAGTAGCTGATCTGATTCTGCATCACACAAAAGCAGCAAGGGGAAGACAATAAAACACACAAAAAGCACCACTGGTAGGATTTGACCTAAAGGGTTCAGTCCAGCAGGAGCCTGCACACCCTCATCTCTCTTACTCACCTGGACATGTGCCACACAGTGCACCAGTCCAGTTTTTGAGATGAACTGTGCCCCACACAGAACCAAACTGAGTCCCTCAAGCAGCAACAAATGAGGTGACTGTGGTCTGAAATGTGGCAATGCACATCATGTGCTTACAGGGTGGTGATGGGCTTTGAACTGATCTTTGTACGCTTAGAAGTTGACACTGTGAGGAGCTAAAGCTCTGCTGGCTCAGCTGAAATGCAGAAAGTGATAGTATGAACAAAACTCTAAGACTGTAACAGTCTGAAAGACAAACTTCTGCCAATTTGCAGGCTCATGACTGCAAAACCAATATGCAAATGCACCCTAAAACAAGCCCAGGGGAAACTGCTGACATTCTTGCCAGCTGCAAATAAGCAGTGGGAAGCCAATGGCTTACATACATTGAGGCAAAAGTTCTGTTTATAAAAATAACCCTGCAACTCACAGGAGTTCATCTCAGACAATAAGCTGGTTGTCTAATCAACACCTTTTTTAAAAAAACCACAACTTTCATGTGAATACTTGTTACAAACAGAGACAAAACTTGACTTCTGGATGGGCACAGTGGTTAAAATACGCAAAGGAAAAATCTCTCCCTGAAATTCAAGCATGCCACCACAAAGGCACTTTGCTTTCCCCATGAGCTGCTCTCTTTAGGCTTGTCTGGCACCAGTTCACCACCATTTGCTCGGTGCTTTGGCCAAGAGGGGCCGGGAGCTGCAGAAAAGACAATCTCTGAGGCCCATCACAAGAATGGCATCTGTTATGGTGACAGCTCACCATGCCTGCAGGTCTTGGGTGGACAGGCAAGACAACCTGCAGCAAAGGGCATCAGTGAACACCACCATCCACGTGCCCACACCCTCCCAGCACATCCTGGCTGGATTGCACAGGGCAGAGCATCCTCTGCCTGAAAGTCTGAGTGAGGTTGGGCACTCTTGAGTTTGCTTGTTTGCATTTCAGCCAGCCCTTTTATCTCACTGCTGAGGTTTTCAGCAGTGAGACAGAGTTTGGAAAAGTAATTTGCAAGCTCATCATTCTGGGGACACACGTACATCCCAAACACAGCTTACTCTGACAACTAAATCTCTCCACTAGTCAGGACTGTGAATATCCAGACTGCAGACAGAGGGAAGCATCTACTGCTGTGACCATGTAGGGATTTTGGGGACTAGAGTTTGTGCTGGTAGACAAGAGGAACCCACTGTTTGTAAGTCCTGGTGCTTACTGTGTATTATCCAAAGGAGCTCAGGCAGAACATAGGCCTCCCATTTCTGCCTCCCTCAGCTGATCAGAGGCATGGGAGCCTTTCCAGGACTTGATGGGAGAATCCACAAGAACTATCCTACTGGCCTTGCCAAGGAAGGGTTCCAATACACCAAGGCTGACAACAAGACCCGTTAAACAGGCAGGAACTGTTTCACAGCCTTAGCAAATTTGGAAAAGCAACACTGTCACTGTCAATACTGAAACTTTTATCACGTCAGTTCTCCTGCTGCCACTTCAAGTGTATTCTCCCAGCAATTGCTTACCAAGTTGCCCCAAACAGCATTTCTCTGCAAAAATAATTTATGCCCAGATCTGGAGCTTAGAAAGGCAGATTTTGTAGGGTAGAAGTCTAGAAGCACTGTTAAAAAGCAAAAGCCAGAGATGTAATGCTTGGCCAGGGTACATATGTTAGAAACCTTAACGCAGAAACACATTTCTAAGCCAGACTATAATGTTACTACGTAGATGATGTCTAGTGGTTATTCTACAGGTTATCTTACAGACTCCTGTCAAGGAGTGCACTGCTAGGGAGTACATTAGTCTGAAGTAGACAGAACTGGAAGCAGCAGCCAGTAGCACTGAAATATTCATTGTCTACTGGACCAGCAGGGGACATGTGAGCTCGGTGAAGCACCAAGCGGGTGTTCACATGCTCCTTTGCCCAAGGCACATCCTATGCCATTCACACAGCTAGGCTGACACTAGTCTCTTCAGCAAGGTACCAATATTGTAATATGTAAAGCAGCAGGGCAACGAGGCTTGCATGGGGTCACCTCCACTCAGACCCCACCGAGCAGGCAGCACAAGCCCCTCGGGCAGGGGCCACCCTTGCCCTCCCTGGTTTGCACGAGGCTTGTTCAGCCTGGTGAAGAGCACACTGCCAGGACTCAAACTGCACCTGCAGCTGCTCTGTCCCTCTCTCCAGCTTGCTGTACATTCCAACCTGCTCTTCATCATCATGAAGTACCCCGATGCTTTAATGCTGGGTTTCACCATGCTGAGCTTAACACTCACAAAACTGACCAACAGCACAAATTGCTAGAAATCCATAGTTTTAAAATGTGTTGGAAAAACTCTTCAACAAAGAGCTACCCTGAGCATCTGCTGAAAGACTATTCTAACCTCATGGCTCCTTTATTAAGTTGCACAAGAAATCCACGTTCTCACTGGGTCTGTCTGATCGTTTGCTAGAGGTATGGCTTGAAGAAATCTGCAATTTGCAAGATGCAGTGGCAGAGACAGGAGATGAGAACAAAGAACATGTTGTTCCCTTGATAAATCCTTCTTTTCCCCCCTCAGCTTTGGTCCATGCTCTTCATTAAATAACATGGGCTGATAGTAACTTTAACTTTTTTTTTTTTTAACAAAGAAAGAAATCCTGTCAAAACTGACAGCATTCAGATAAACAACAAACGGCTCAATAGCTCATTTCCCACAAAAGAGCAAACAAAATTAAACTAGTACCCCCGATTCATGAGGAACTATTTTACCAGCAATGTCACAGAGTTCTGCATCAGAGGCATTAGCAAGGGCTTCCTCCAGTTCTGGCTCCAGAGTCACACTTTCCAAAACAGGATCCATCGGCTTCTGCTTGGGGATCCAAGCTTTTCCTATAAATGCAAAGTGAGGTCACTGTCAGTATAGCTATAGCACCTGTTTCACAACTAGCCATGCAGATGCATTTCCATGGGGTGAGATTTGCACAGTGAAAAGGACAAAGGGGACACGAGGACCAAGAGAAAAATCAGAGGAGACACTGAATCCCTTCCCATTAGCCAGGAGGCAGAGTCCAGGAGCTGGACTCTCACCAGTCTAGAGGGCTGCATCTACAAAAGCCCAACAGTGTATTTGTACAGGATGATGACTGTCCAATGCACAGTGCTCAGAAAGCCACGCAGAGCCTGACCATGCAGGACGTGCTTCTTTGAAGGCTGCAGAAAAGGGATGGAGACTCGCCAGCACTAACATGGACCGAGAGGCCAGTGGCCTGGATCCAGCACTGCGCAGGATCAGTTCTGCCTCCAAGACAGCTCCCACTGCTAACTCTGCTGGCACAGCAGATGGCACATTAGTCAAAAGACAGTGGAAAGGAGGTGGTGGAGGGGGTCTGGCAGTGGGCAGGGAGAGCAATCAGTCATCCAGCACAAGGGAGGCAAGAAGAAGCAGGCTTGGGGCAGCTGGTCTGGCTCAGCACTGTTGCAGAGGGCAGTAGGAAAGACACAGAGGGCATGACAGATGGAGACTGCCCTGCTCCATCTTCTGGGACAGCAACTGGCCAAGGAATAGGCCTTTTCCCTATGAGCCAGAGGTGCAAAGCAACAGATCCAGCTGGCAACACAACACTGTTGCTCACTTGTGGCCTTTTCCCAACAGGAGCTACCCATGCAGACAAGGGGCTGTGCTGCATGTGGTGCAACTCCAGCCCAGCTCTGAATGCTGAGGGCTCCCCACATTCCTCCTCTCCCTCATGCAGGGTGACCACTGGGCAAGCTACAACCCTTTCCGTGCAGGAGCTGGCTGCATCCCAGGGAGCCACTGGGCAGCAGACAGGACTCAGGGCTGCTGCCAGTTCCTCACGGCTCCCCGTG